TCTTTCGCTACATTCGACAAGATTGCTTCTTTTTGTAATTATAAATCAATCAACGCATACCATTCCTTTGAGTAATCCATCACAGTAAAGCACCCGTGAATGTCAATTTAAGTTTATACAATACGATTAGCCAATTGTGTCACTAATCAGCATCGACGCCGAGGAATGTCGAATTCTGTGGCTCAGAATTTTTTTTTGCGCTTTTGCAAAAAACCGCGCAGATTTGCTTACCTTAATGCTATTAACCTAAAACGCTCTTCTAATGGGTCAAGTATGTAAGACTTCTAGCTATATGGTTATTTCTGCATCAGTACCGCTCGTTGGGAATTTGAATTATAAGAGCTCATAATTCAGAGCAAACATGGATAATATTCTCCGCGAAAAAACCCTAGAAAGCTAAAAACTTTCTTCCTCATATCTATCATCAGAATTTATGAACATAAGTCGTACGCAGAGTTATCCTCTTTAGTCCTACTTCGCAATTTCCGTCTGTGAAGTATTAAGCAGATAAGCAAAATCGGCAAGGCACTCTTGGCTCACATTCTTTTCTTTCCAAAATCACATAGAAGACTTCATTGAAGCAGCGTTCAAGTTGCCGTGCTCCAAATCCACGCCAACACGCCCCGCATCCATCAATCGCCTTTTGACACTACGCTGGCATGATTTTGGAGTGACGGTGACACGGCGCTGGCACGGGCAGCCTTAGACTTAGTCTTGGAGAGAGGATGGTATCGCCCACGTAAAAGGGACGCAAGATTTTGTAACAAGCAAAGGTCTGTATGATGGTATAAATGGAAGCTCCAAGATAATAAGAACATGAGACGTTTACGGCATAACTGCTCGAGTGTAAAGTTACATTTTAGGTAGCCTTACTCGTGCCAGACCAAATCCACGCGAACTTTCTATGTTTCTTTTGTCGACGAGACGAGCTATCGCAAGCACGAAGAACAGTATGCTGATGCAATTCGGGCAGGTAAGTGATCTCGGAGGTTTGGGCTACCATGATCAACGCAAAAATTCAGTTCGTCTCCCACGACATCACGAAAAACGCACTGTCGAATATCTGTAACTGCGGCACGAACAATATCCGATGTGCAAACGTTATTCGACCTCCAACGGACCCAACGTTTGCGAGATTTTTGCATTAAGAATTCGGGTGATAAAGCTCTGCTATAATTTCAGGAGAGGGGCTTGTGTACCTTTCACTCGTTCCGTGCACGTCTGTGGAACGGGCATGCCAGGTCGCCCTAGGGAACAGTACAACGAGAACACTGCCTTCATCGATGGTAGCTCGGTGTACTCGTCCGAACCTGTGACGCTGCGTTCGCTGCGAGCCGGACCTTTCCTGAAGACAAACGTACGAGTGGCTATAGCACAATTGTGAAAAAGAATTTACGATAAGTTCAGGTCGTGAACGGTCGAATGTTCCCACCAAACAACGGAAGAGATTCGATGACTGCTGGTGACGATCGAGCCACTCTCTTTGTCGGTTTGGCTGCCATGCACACCACTTTCCTACGTCTTCATAATGGGTAAGAATAGCTCGCACAGCGGAGAAAAAAGCGTAAAAATGAAAGAAAGACAAAAAAGATGGCTCCAGTCAAACTGGTAAATGCACGAGGCCAAGGACATACCCCATGCGATCTCACTCTCGAGCAATTGGCAGTACTCCAATTGTTTACAGCTTATCGCAAGCATATTCTGCATATACAGAAAAAAGTACATTATCAATTCTGCGAAGGTCATAACACTGCGCATTTGCAGTCTGCAAGTATTGCGTTTGAATATTTGACAAATCAACAGATCGCATCAATACTGAAAGTGAAGTATGACCGAGGCTAGTATATATATGGTGTTATGATCGTGGATCCCGCTAAGGTCGACTACTCGCCTTGTTAAAAAGTCACCATTCTTTATGCATTCTTAATGTAACTTTTCGTAAAGTACGGAAGGTGTACTGTAGGCAATGTGACTCACAGTATTTGAAAGTTTAGCCTCAATCATTTTGGTCCCAATGGCGCAGAGTAAGAAATGGGTTGCCACAGCTTGAATCTAGTTGATCTTCTCGAACAGTGAACCCTACTACTATAAATAGTAACTCAGAATCAATTTTGACATGGCATAGTAGCAATCAGATGAATATTTATCTTAGCTGCTCTATAAGAAATTTTTGAGGGGAGAGCGGTGCGGCGGAATGCGTTAGCCACACTCTTCCTTACAAGTGCTATTGGATCTCTGTGAACTTATAACGAGTGACTTGGACAATTTAACGAGACGGAGGTGAAGCAGGAAATTGGCCAAACCCATTGATACACGATGTACTCGAATGTATACGTCAAGTTGAGAAATTCGATAGCAATGTCAAAAGCAAAAAAAAA